GAGCCGTCGAAAATACGTTTAAAATGCCAGAGCCGCACAGTTGTCACAAAATAAATGCATCATATAGTTGGAGGTTGGAAAGCTAAATTATCGATTCTTCAAAAGTAAAGGAAACACAGAAATGGAGAATGGGTGTGATTGCGATCAGATCAAGTAGGATAGCGTGTGTAACGCCAAAAGTTTAGTCGACCACAAAAAATCTCTCTATAAAGATCGCATGCAGGCCAAACAACGCACGTGTCATTATGAACTGATACTAAATGTGATCATTTACTCTGAACATTCCAGGGGTTCATTTGGTTAAAATAAGGGTAGCTGTTATTCGAACATTTTTCTTAGTTTACTTTGTTCAGCACATGAGCAACCAATAATTACAATGTAATGAGATCTCTGCAAACTGGGAAGTAATTGCAAAGTTTAATTTTATATCAACTTTTTGTTAAAGCCGCGCAAACATCTTTAGATTATGAAAATTTTACAGGAGTATTGCATTGAGATTATTTCTTCTACTTTAAATTCATGATAAATCTTAAAATGTTGTTTAATGTAACTACCATTATTCTATGCACATCTCTAATCGAGGTAGTCGATTTGTCACGTTCTCAAGAAAGTCATCTTTCAACATTCATACATTCAATAGCATTTTATATTTGTATTTTTAAGTCTAACGGACTTTTGCAAACATATGACAGGCTATGCAATAGGTATAACGGTACCAATTGCGCAAGTCCAGGTGGGTGGAGCTTAAGGTGTAGGCAACATTGCATTCAGAGAAAAAAAAACAACAAAACAACACTAGTTGTGATTGTTGCATTTCTAATAATTTTATTTTCTATTAGGTTTAAAAAAAGTTGAGACTCTTGGCAACATGTGAGATTATATTATTTCCTATTTAGATGATATTTTGTATTTTTTATGATTTTTTGAAAATGTTGTACACATGACTGAAAATGTGTCTGATGTGACTAGATAACTCATTTCCCTGTCTATTTCCAGCAGAGTTATATCTCTTAAACACAATGAAGTACCTGGTTCGGTCATTGTCAAATTGACAGTCTAACACTGTTCTCTTGAAAAGTTTGTGATGTGCATGCACAATTATAAAAGAAAACTTTATTTCCCCAAACATCAACATTAAGATATATGGAAAAACAATTGGTACCGTGATACCAATATTGTCATTCTATTTGGTGCAGAAAATGAATCTTGATAGAATCACTGACATGCATGAAGCTACTGGTAGGCTTTCTCTGCTGGTAGTATTTTTCATATACCTACGTTTGTCAGTACGTAACACAACTTGAGAGAGGTATTAGTATAAACCATTGGCTATGACCATTTAATGATTGGATGCCCTGTGGTTTTATTTCTGCATTCGTTTATCTAATTTTATGAGCAAGTACACCGGAGCTTGTATTAATCCTTTATTGTTATGAAAAACTTAATAACAACTGATTATATAAGTAAATTAATAGTTCGGGTTCTATATACCTACTTTACGCCGAAACACACGTTTAACCCGTGTTGTGATGTGCCTGGACGTGGTGGCACATTCCTCTTCGTCCCACGAAACCCTGTCAGTAGTAACCAGTAAAGAATGTTAAATTTGATCACATTAATGAACAAATATCTGGATTATCGACAGAGTTCGAAATAGGTTTTAACCTGGATGATATACGTCATATGCCGTATCAACACACCGTGAAATCAAAAAATTGCTTTTCGATCTGTCTCCAAACATAATTAACTGCGGTAGAGGTTATATATATATATATATATATATATATATATATATATATATATATATATATATATATATATATATATATATATATATATATATATAATTATGTATGTAAGCATGCATGCACGCACGTACGCTCGCACGTATGTATGTATGTATGTGTGTGAGTTCGAGTAATATAGTTAGGTTTTCATCTACAAAGTTTGTTATAAGAAAATGTTTCTTTCGTAGGAAACTGCTCTTTCTAATGCTGCTTGAACGTTTATCAACACATCATTTGTCACATAAACAAATTGCAATTTAAAATCAATATTTATTTTAAAACTTTTGCTTCTATTGTGAATTTCAACTATGTGTAAGGCATGCATCATTTTAGTTGTAGCCGTTTCTAAAACTTTTAATGTGCACATAATTATCTAATATGAAACGTTTAAATTTATGCATTTAGAATTATCATAGTTGTTTGGAGTAGATGGCATATCCTCTGACATTCAAAATGTAAAAATAAAACGTTGGCCTGCTTCATTATGAACATTTCTTCTTTTTAATTCCTTTCATCGTCTTCATTTTAGAATCATTGCTGCAATAAAAAGATTAGTGGTGCCTTATGTGCAACATATACAGGAAACAGCATGATAATAAAATAAATTGGATCATTCGCAGATGTCTCTATCTGGAAACTACATTTGGTAGAAAATATCTCCTGTTTTGATGTTTGTTTAAGAATGATACTGGTAATCCGGTTATAAAAAGAACTTATAACTTCTATTTAAATCGCGCCAGAATGTTTATGATGTTTATGTTGATGATTATTTTCTAAACAAGAAAGAGTGAGACTAATATATATATATATATATATATATATATATATATATATATATATATATATATATATATATATATATATATATATATATATATATATATATATATATATATATATGAGAGAGAGAGAGAGAGAGGTGCAATCATCTAGAAATAACATTGGTAAGACTTTGCTTTAAAAGAAAGTTTGCGATACATGCGCTTAATTGTGTTATATAAAAGGGGATGACTCTAGTAGACCGAATAACGCTTGGCACATATATCATACTTGGTTAGATTTAAGTTTCTAGCATTTGCAAGTGAACAATGTCGTCTATCAAACACCAATAGCTTATTCCAGTTTGTTTCATCCACTTTAACAACCATCTCATGTTAGAGTACTTTGCATAAAATGACAATTGATAAGGAATAAATCAGTTAAAAATGTTAGAAAACATGTTTCCTCATGAAGACAAGACAGTTAGTCTGGGTAACGATCTGTTAAAATAGGATGTTGGTGCTGATGTTTATGTCAAATTTCCACCTTTCAAACCATACAACACATGAATGATCAGGAATGTTGTTCATAAAAGGAGCTGACGATTGCTTTGATCTTCGATATCCTCCCACGATCACATAGCATTCCGAAAGATCCCGTGGGTCCGAATACGGGCAACTGCTATTGGTGCATACCATCTAGCTTAAGTTACTTGGCATATGATCGATACCCAATTTTGTGATATAATGCTGCAAATTGAGAAATTATTGCCGAAATTAATTTGTGTTACTTTTGCTACAACAGTGAGATCATATATAGTTTTTTGTTTGTACTTCTTAAATTTAAAGGAGGTATGCATTAATATCATGTCATCAAATTTGTCTCCTTTAGTTTCATGGTATATATCAAAAACTTTAAAAAAACTACCTCAGTATTTCTCCTTTTTATGTATCTCTTACAAGAAAGTCGACCAGTCAGGGTATCGAAAACTCCAGCGTTTTGTCTCTATACCTTCAAATGACTTAATTGTGTTATTGAATATGTGTTTGTTTGTTGGGGTTTTTTTGGCCATTAAGGACATTTCTCAAAACGCGACAGGCTATACATGGCAGCCAGAAAAAACCGCGGACATAGGTGAAGCTCAATAGTTTTGCTCACCAAATCGTAGTTTTGTCTCTGCACGAAATGGCTAATTTAATCCCAAATTATCTAATATATTCACTCAGCCAAGACTCAAATTCAGCGTGGAGATGGGTGCGATGCGTGGGTGATACGGACGGGCTTACGTTTTAGACCACTGATTCCTAGGAACTATATGGTGTTTTATTTTCATTTACCTAATTTTGATGAGCAAGTTAGCTAACGGTAGTTTTAGTACTATATATGTTAATAGAAAATGAATAACATCTAATTAAATAAATAAATCAATATTTCGCGTTGCATTCCCGGCTCAAGCAGAACCACGGCTGACATAGATTGACGATACTCTGAAATGACCTTGCAGCATGTGATGGTACATCACTCCCTGTCTTAGGGACCTCTGCCCGTAATAACCATCATATACTGTTGACTTTAGTCATTTTTATCATACAAATATCTGGGTTATGGACATCCCGCCCAGCTAAAGATCGCTTTAAAGAGGTCAGAGACAATGTAGATTGTAATATATGTCACAGAGGTCATAAGAACAGATTACATTAAAATTTGGAGGAGTATGGCTTTTGTTCAGTCTCAAATTTAACAAGTTACAGACTAGATGATGATGATAATGATGATGATGATGATGATGATGATGATGATGATGATGATGAAATTGATGATGATGATTACGATGTATGTGTGTGTCAGAGAGAGAGAGAGAGAGAGAGAGAGAGAGAGAGAGAGAGAGAGAGAGAGAGAGAGAGAGAGAGAGAGAGAGAGAGAGAGAGAGAGAGAGAGAGAGAGAGAGAGAGAGAATTAAATATCCAAATGCAATGGTAAAGAGGAATGTAATCATCTAACAGTTTCATACGTATGCTTCGTATGGGAGTGATCATTACAATGCTGCTCGAAAATGTCTCGCAATATAGTCTGCACACATTTCTTATAAGAACACTGTTTGCTTGTGGATATCAACTTTGAGTAATAAAGAACTAATTAGTTTTGTTCTTAATGTCCATGCAAATTACACAATACGAAATGTTCCAATTCCTTAATTAGAATTGGCATAGCATGGAGTATTGTGTGTGTGTGTGTGTGTGTGTGTGTGTTATGGCTTTCAACTTTTTCAGTCACATTGCTACGATAATTGTAGTGAGACAGTTTATAGTGATGTCAAGCACTGGGGGCATCATGCCGTAGACATATAGCATGATCTCCCACCCAGTCACATTATTCTGACAACAGGCCGACCAGTCCTAACACTAACCTCTTAATGCTGAGCGCCATTAGTACCATTTTTGTAAGTCAGTGGTATGATTCGACGGGGGATCGAACCCACGACCTCCCGCAGTTGAGGTAGAAGCCCTAACCATTAGGCCACCGGCCTCTAAATTTTGTAAACAAAAGGTGTACCATGAAGTCAAAAAAAGGTTTGGTCCATTTTCTTGTAGAGCTCATACTAGTAGCCTGTATAGTGATTGCATGATATTGATAATGGTGACCTGCGTATCTATAAATTGTTTCACTTCGTATGCATTATAAGACGACCAGCGGGTTCTTGCTAGAAAGCAAGATAAGATGGGTAAATATATATTTCATGAAACGAATGCGTGCGCAGAACAATGTGAATAATTACAGAAACGGACTTTGTTCAATCTCACTCTTAGATAATAACATCTTTCACTATTTAGACTGGACAAGCCACTTCGTGTGCATGTATAATTACAAAGTTGCAACGTACTGAAAACAAATGAATTGTAGCTTTGATGTGTGTCACCAAGAAGGAAAGCGTTCGCGTGAAACAATATACAAATATCTCTACCATCTGCCTCCTGACACAATGTCTATACAACAAACCAACAAGATGAAACTAACCTGCAAGCACTTGGCAATTACTACCATCAGGAAAGGAAGACAAGTAATAACTTTATATTGAGAAACAAAACCCGAGCAATATATATATATATATATATATATATATATATATATATATATATATATATATATATAGATATATATATATATATATATATATATATATTTTTTTTTTTTTCATTGATTTAATAGATGTACCTCATGCTAATGGAATATAGCAGTAATGCAAATTATAAATACATGCATACATTTCTGTAGTAAGGATGTTCACATTAAACATATTTAAGGAGAAACAATTCACTGATAGCTGATGATGGGCGTATATGATAGTCAGTCACTGAATGCATGCATACATACATACATACATACATACATACATACATACATACATACATACATACATACATACATACATACATACATACATACATACATACATACATACATACATACATACATATTTACAGACAGACAGACAGACATGCAAACATGCAAACATACAAACATACATACATACATACATACATACATACATACATACATACATACATACATACATGCAGACAGACAGACAGACAAACAGACATGCATTCATACATACATACATACATACATACATACATACATACATACATACATACATACATACATACATACATACATACATACATACATACATACATAAACACATACATACATACATACATACATACATACATACATACATACATACATACATACATACATACATACATACATACATGCATGCATGCATGCATGCATGCATGCATGCATGCATGCATGCATACATACATACATACATACATACATACATACATACATACATTCATACATACATACATACATTCATACATACATGCATGCATGCATGCATGCATGCATACATGCATGCATACATACATACATACATACATACATACATACATACATACATACATACATACATACATACATACATACATACATACATACATACATACATACATACATACATACATACATACATACTTACTTACTTACATACATACTTACATACATACATACATACATACATACATACATACATACATACATACATACATACATACATACATACATACATACATACATACATACATACATACATACATGCAGACAGACAGAGAGACAGACATGCATTCATACATACATACATACATACATACATACATACATACATACATACATACATACATACATACATACATACATACATACATACATACATACATACATACATACATACATACATACATACATACATACATTCATATGCAGACAAACAGGAGAACTCAGAGAGAGGGGGATATACTTAGAAAAATAGACGCTGGACTCTTTTACGTTTCACCAGTGATAATTATATCAAGTATATTAAAAGTTGGCAGAACAATTAAGGAGTACCTACTGTGGTTTTAGCTCTAATTCAACTTTTGTTGCCAAAACAAGGATTATTGACAGAAGGACTTTGTTTTGAAGTTTTCTTTTACGTGATTACTTATTCTCACAAAAATATTTGCCACAACTACCTCTAACTTCTCGCTACCTAACATTTCTAGCAACTGATTTTTTTCTTAGGAAATAAGAGTGGGGTTACCGATTAATCTTCAAAGCTATCAGGAAGAAAAGATGGGACGATTGTACCAAAACACAGCACAAAATGATAAAAGAGAAAGAAGCTAGAGGTGGAAACTTGAACGATGAACAGAAGGAATCGAGTGAAAAGAGAACCGTCAACCTGTTACGGGAAGGTTTTGACGGACCTTAAATAATTGAGAGGAATGTATCAAGTTATTTTGGCGAAACCCAACGGATAATGACCTTTGAAATAATATATCTTTCCATACCAATGAAGCATACTGAGAAGTCAGCAGCGGCATAAATGCCCAACACTAGAGCAATAATAGAAAGAACGAGTGTAACAGGTTTAAAACAGTTGCAACTGATGTTGAAGAGTCCACAGCTTTTTGTAAAAGTTATCAGCCCTTTTCAGGTTCAACTAAGTTTCTTAAAAAAGAGACACTACTCCTTGAATACCAAACTAAACACAGCAAAAGTAATTAAAAAAGAAAAACAAAACAAGATCCAATCAAAGTAATAGGCGTGTGTAGATACATGTGGGAATATCTTATATATAAATAAAACAACAAATCTTGTCATAGTCACGCATAAGTGTTTGGAATAATTAAATCAGATCAGATAGGTTAATTGTTATCTTCTTCTTAGGGATGTCTTGCTTTGAATTTCTTTACTATTATTATTATTATTATTATTATTATTAGTATTAATAATAATAATAATAATAATAATAATAATAATAATAATAATAATAATAATAATAATAATAATAATATTATTATTATTATTATTATTATTATTATTATTATTATTATTATTATTATTATTATTATTATTATTATTATTATTATTATTAACCAATCAGAAATTAGCGCATGTTATCATCCGGCGATGAAACTTTATTAACCAATCAAAATCAAGCAATAAGTATTAAATGGTGAGATTTAGGTAAGCGTGTAAAAACAAATTTCCAGTCCATGAGACACAGTATAGAATTAATCCTGCCGATTTCCATACCAATGACTATAAATAAAATTCTAAGTATACAAACCATCATTCATTTAAAATGTAAGTAGACATGTGTGAAACATGTGAAATAGTTAAAGTACGTGTCTTACATTATTCGTAACAGTAATACACAACATGTGCTCCACATATATGAACATCCAAATCACGCCTGCCTAAACAAGCAAACTTGTCTGTGAATGAACATGGCAACATTTAAACGTAACAATTAAGTAAAAAATGCTGTCATTCATAACTTTTTTAAATAACACACTTTAAAGACAAAAATGCATAGAATAATGCTGCAGTGACAGAGATAATACTATGTTTTGAATCTACTAAAAATAACGATTTGAAATAATACTGATGAACACCAGCTACAGATGAGATACATGGAAGGACAGCAACATGACTAGTATAATGAGCTGGATGTAGATCTGCAGCAGCAAAAATATCAGCAGTAGAACAGTCCCTGATACCGTAAAATTGGAGATTGAAAGATTGGTGCACAGGCCACATTTAACGTATCTCTGTCTCCTTGTTGCAGAGCCCAGTCCAGGAGATACAGTTGGTCTGGATACCATTAGGGAAATAAGTCAAAGGCAATTTTCAGATACACCGAGCTCTTCGGAAATTCGTATCCACGCATACAAACATACTGATATACTAGCAAAGAGAAAACGAAAGGTTGGATAGATTACACAGATAATTGCCCTGTAATAGTCTTATCGAAATAGATTTAAAATCTAAAATTAATTTCACACTATTACTAAAATTAGACACGGCTTAAAGTCAACGTACATTAATTATCATATATAGGACTATCCCTTTTATAAACCACTGATATTATGCAAAGTTCACGAGAACTTGCACAAATTTTTCTGCTTATTGCTTTTCTTCGGTGATAAACATTTACTAATGAGACTTATTTTATGTCATTTTTGTCTCCGTTAACTTTACAGTGTCAGAACCGTGCAGTATTTTACGATACTGAACACGTTCATATTACACTCAGTATAGTGTATTATGAATTACTTTATAAACAAACCATTTACACTCATGTAGTAGATGTTTAGGTTTTGGTTGATTAAATTTGTTTGTGAATAAAGCAAATACGCTTTGTAGTCCATTTGAAAATATATGTGATAAAGTTAACTATGTTGTCGAGTTTACTGAGTCTGATACGAAACTTTAAAAAATCACACTAATGAATGTGATATTTTCAATGTCAATAACTCGAAATACATTTCTCATTATGAAACAGTTAATTCGGAGAAATATTAGTATTTTTTCGCTCCCTATAGTCTATAAAAATATAGCATAGAAAAGCATATTGAGATCAAGGGGTATTGCATATCTGTCAGAGACGTTCCTTTTAACAAGTCTGTCACAATACTAGATTTAAGTTAAAAATGAAAATGTTGTATTAGCATGACACAAAGAGCCTCAAAGACAATAATCAAAGATGACGAAAGTGTATTATTTCCGCTGTCTAAATGAACTGTCACAGAACAGCTGCTTTGCAATTTTCCACGTGTAACTATTTTCATACAATGTTTGGCTTGAGATAGAAAACTTACACTGTATGATGCAGGTCAGATCTGGGGTAACTCAAACAGCAAAATGCAAGTGACAGGGTATAAACACACCATACAGGTAATAAATATACTTTCATTAATGCATCTTGAATTTCGTAAAAATGTACCTTCTTAGTTCTGCAATTCCCAGTGAAATGTCCTGCAAAACCTGATACACATCTAAATTGTACATATACAACTGAATTCCAAATAATCCAAGCCATCATAATCAGAAGTGTTTTAAGTAAACTGAATTCTGAATCCATAAAAGTCTAATTTGTCTATAGTTGCTACTTCTTTAGGTTTCATCACCTG